TGCTCTTCCCTGCATGACAGCACTTCAGAGCAAATAGACACCCCAGCCTCATTCATTCAACACAGTCCTCATGCACGATTCTGACAGCCCAAGAAAGAGCCTCTGGAAGAGGATGTCGTGGGCAGTGGCCTTCTCTTTGCTCCATTCTTTAAGCAAAAAAAAATCCCATATCAGGGTGTGGAGAAGAAGAGAAAGTCCTAGCATGTAACACTCTTATTCTGCAAGAGGAGAAGGCTTAACACTTTAAAAAATGGCTTCTAATTGGGGATACTTCCATTTTTTGGTGCTCAACTTGAACGTGGAAAGCTGGAGTTTCAAGAAGTACCTAAATAAGGATCAGATTTCCAGGGAAACCTGGCACCCAACTTACTCAGAGCTTTTAAGCATCTGGTCACTCTTTTGGGGGCTGATGTGCACAGGTGCTGAGCACCTGGGATACTGCCTTCAGCTGGTTTAGCATGGAATGAAGCAAGAGAGGCAACCATATTCCAGACATCACCGATGGACTGTCTGATCCTAGAAGACAGCCTTGGGTTGGGCAGAATTAAAAATGGAAATCCCAGGCCCCCTTACTTTCAGCCATTTACGAGGTATCCTTTACTCACCGGACTCTGGAGGATCATGGTGACCCGTTTCTTCTGCTCCATCATGTTGAAGTCCTGCCGGAGGTCTGCCGCCATGTTCCGGATCCGTAGGTACTCGGGGTCATCTTCAGAGAATCTGTCGAAGTATCGCTGCCCAGGCGGGGGTGGGGAAGAGATGGCCTCAGGGGTGGTTTCGTTGCTCATCTTCCTGGTTGTCTAGAGCTGATTACTTGGTACCTGTGTATAGGGGTGAAAGGGGTCAAGGGGAGTGAGGAAAACTGACTGAGCACTGACTGAGCAATTCAAGTCATGTGAAAAACCTCAGTGGTGGCCTTAGGGTTGTTGGAGCCCTGGGGAAGAGAGTCATTTGGGGCCCCTTAGAGGTATGTACTCAGGTAAATATTAACCCACCACAGCTGTATTTTGGATCTTTTTAATATTCTTTGGGGGAATTAGATAAATAGTCAAGTGTTAAAATGCAAATAGAGCCACTTCCTTGCAAAAACTTCCCCCCCCCCCCCCAAAAAAAAATAAAAAATTGGGCCCCTTAAAGTGCAGTTGCCCAGTTTGCCCTCCCCTAAGGCCATTACTGACCTTCTGGAGGGTGCCTGTGTAAAGAACTGCAGGGCAACTTCATTAATACCAAGAGGAAGGAGTGGTGTGCGAGGGATAGGAAGAAATGTGTGCACATGCTACGTGCATGTTTCATGTAGAATTTCTGACTGGATAACATACCCGACACTGTCTCTAACAGCTGCAAGATCTGCAGCATTCGAACCAGGATCATCTTAGATAGTTTCCACAACTCAGTTCAAGGTACAAAGCCTGGGACCTCACACAAGTTGCCCAGATTTGGGCTTCTGAGTGAGCTTCAAATCTGTGCAAATGCTAGCAGGAGTGAGAAGCCTGAGTGTAATCATCCCACTGGTCCCCATTGGTACAGAAAGGAGAGGATGCCCCTTGGAGCATGGTAACTCTCCTGGGACCTGGTGCATGTAAACTTGGAAGCTTCCTCCCAACACTGTTGTTTTAAGGGTTCATATTTTTTGGAGGGCTATCACAAGAGCTGGCATTGCTGAACACTGAGTGGGATGTCTGTCCATCACCTGCATCCCCTTATTATCCACCTGGACACAAGGCCTGGAGACTGGAAAGACAACGAGACCCTGAAGGAACGCAGAAGGCTTCTGTCTGGTCTCTAGGTCATAGCTGGGCCACTACCAGTTACTCTCAGCTTCCAGGAGGAAAGTGGAAATGAAACCTCAGTCAGGCAGAGATCTGCTCCTTGCAGGCAGTTGAAAAGCTGGCATCACGTGGGTCACACAGCCTGGCAGAAATCTGTGCAGCAGAGATAGCAACAGACAGACCTAGAGATTTATCAGTCCCCCAAGCTTAAAGAAAGAGAGCATCATTCACTGAGGGCTATGAACATCTTGAGTATGAACAACTTGGGTTCTACCATATATAATACTAGAGTCATGGGGTACAGGGCTAAACCTCTTAAGGGTGTTTGGCTGTGAAGTGTTGGTTCAGTCCATGAATAACAGGGGTTCCCTGAAGCACAGAGGTCAGAACTGGAAGCCTGGAGTTCTGCTTTTGGGTTGGATAGTCTCTTGCACGTGCACGTGCACGTGCACATGCATGCACGTACACCCATAATCTTCAAAGGCTCTTACTGCATTTGATATCCCTTGGCAAAGGGGAGGTCACTGTTTTCCTTTTCATTCTTCCCTCTATAAATATGGACCCAACTCATGTTAACTCCAAAGTTCTTGGCACTTCAGGAGGCTGTAGGTCCACATTTAAGTACCTAAATAAGGACCAGATTTTCAGGGGAGCCCAGCACACAAGCTGCTGGATTGGGTCTTGGAAGGGTCAACAAAACAAACCTCTGAGATGTCTACATTTTACTAAGAGGCTGGGGATCTTGTCAAAGAAGATGTGATTCAGTGAAGTGTTTGGCTGCTATAAAAATCTCAGCTGCTGGTGCATCTTGCTGACTGTCCACCCTGACGCTCTGACCACAGGGCTTAGACATTGCAATTAGAAAGAAGAGCTAGAAATAAACAACGGGACAAAACAGGAAGAGCATATGAAGACCATAGGCAATGCACTTCTACTCCCAGCCCCAGCAAACGAGCTTGCTTGGCTGGCTGTCCTGAATGACACACAATCCTGGACTGATGCTATCAGATTCTGCAGCCCGGCACCGTGTCTGATGCTTCAGGTAAGGCTGGGTGTCAGCGAGGGAATCACTACCGACTGCACGTGGCTTGTTTGCAGACAAGTCATAGCAAATTAACAGCATGAACGAATGAATGAGTGGCACCAGGCTGAACAAGCTGGAGCAGCAAAACAGCATCCCCACTGCTCTGACAAACCAGAGAGCATTCTCTGGGCAACACCAGGCCATTTTGCCACTGCTCTGAGGAGGGGATGGTGCAGTACTGAGGGAAGGGGACACAAAGCTTCCCCCAGCCCTTCTGTGTGCAAGAGAATTGTGCAAACTGCTCTGTTCCTTGACATCTGAATCACCTCTATCTTGGGGCACTGATATAGGGCCATGCGCCAGCTTCCTGCCCTCTCGCCTGAAGCCACTGCAGCGAGCTCAAGCACTGATGTTCCCTGGCACTTGCATAGTGTTTCTGGGTAAAGCTGGATCTATGAGCTGTTCTGCTATTAGTGGCATCATCCACAGGATCAGGGCAGATGGCACTGCAATGTGGAGGAGCTGGGGGACTAGATTGCTGGAGCCAGAACTGAAAGCTCATGCCCATAGCAGCAAGCTTGTATGGGTGAGAAGGCAGCCTCTTCCCTGTCAGCAGTGATTCAGATGCAGCCCAGTTTCCTCTGCTGTTGACAGTTCTACCTCAGCCTGACTTCATTTTCTAAACCTTGTTTCCTCCTGATGCAACAACAGCTGCAATTTATAGTCCTCAGCGTCCTTCATGCCAAAGAGGTTCTCAGCAATAGATGGAAGGCCACTTCATTCACCATGTCAATGCAGCCACTTCTGGGGTGGACTGACACTGTGTAGAACCATGTCATGCAGCAGACAGGACTGGAGGCAAAGAAGGACATCATAAGTCACTGCAGTAATGCAAACAAGCTGACTCCTGCTCTTATTAGTAAAGGCTTGTGATGGCCAGTGGCTCCTGGGGTCATCCTCTACACTACAGCACTTTGGTGCCCCCAACATTTTTAGGCTTGGAGGAGCTGAAGGGTAATGGATTCCCAGTGGAGTGCAGCAAGAAGTTAGGGTGGAGAGTTAATTCACAGGACAGTACAGGCAGGAGGCAACATGATGGGTAGAGTCCCTGTATCTTATAGAGCTCTCTCTGTCAACCCTCCACTATGTAAAACTCTACAGAACCTTGTCACAGAGTCTCACCCTACACCTATGGCACCCAGATGCCCTGGTGATGGGCATAATGCAAGTTCCTGGAGGAAGCAGAGCACTTTTAGGAAAGAGCTTTGCCTGCTCACAGCATCTTGAGTGCTCTCCCCTCCAGGCACTATCCCAGCTCCCAGCTTCAGAGATGAGAGACAACAGGACCACAGCACATGTGACAGCAAATTCGCTGCCTCTGCTGCTGACACACCTGCTTCCTGCAACTATGGCTGACACTAGTTCAATATTTGCTGATGCAACTAGCAGGGCCATTCCATTGGCTGGGATCATGGCACAGGTCCAGTAAGTCAACAGGGCCATGCTGAAAAACCATCCCTAAGAGACGGGTAAATGAAGTAGCAGTATGAACACAATGGGCTATTTTGATGCTAGAAATAAAACCTCTGATCTGTTTTCACTGATAGTTTTCCCTTCTTCTTTTTACCATCCCCATGAGCTCCTCGGGAAGGAAATACATCTTCTTTCAGCCATGCTTTATGGTTAGCTCATCTTGAGCTGTTTTCCCCAACTCAAGACCCTTGCAAGATGCGACCTCCGTGCCCTCTTGTGCTCTGTCTAGCACCAAAGAGGAATGCTGGGCACTACCAGGTAAAAAGATTGAAGGAGGCCGGAAGCTGCGTTTGAACTCTGACCGCTGCTTCCCATGGTTCTCTGTCACTTTTGCTTTTGCTAAACAAACAGCTCTCTCGTTTCCATGGCAAAGGCTGCTCCAGAAATATATTTTGTAGAAATTGGCCCTGTGGTGTGGACTAAAATAGCTCAAGCAGCCTGCAAGGTGCCTGGATTCCTGTGCTTGCAGAGAGAGCAAACTGTGGAGCCCCGCAGAGAAAAAAAATAAGACCGGTTTTCACCTTTTTGGTGCTGTCTCTTGGGGAAAACATTAGCCCTGTATGATAAAATATGCTGCCCATCTTGTTGCATGTTACAGTCAGACAGGCATATGCAGGTTCTCTCTTTGCCAACAGGATTTGAGTTCTGGGCTGCAGATCAAAATTCCCGAGAGGAAATTTCCCCTGCCTTTTTTGCTTCATTTACTGTGAGTATGAGCTGCTAAGTCTCACCAAGTAGCATCACCTGGGCAGGTGCAAGTGGGGTGCTGACGTAGGGGAGGTGCTAGAAGGGAAGCTACCACAGCTGCCAGCCGGGGGGGCAAAACTTCCTAATTAAGCCTGTCTTCTCACTACTGCCTTTTCACTATGCTGGTACATTTTTTCCTCTCCCATTCAGTGGTGAAAGAGCATGCTGCTTGCCAGGCTTTCTGAACCAATGTCTAGGCCAAACTGAATCAGTAGTTATCATTTCCACGGGAAGGGACAACTCTCTCTGTTGCTCACAGGCAACAAAGCGGGTTCTAAGGGAAAGCAAGGGCAGGCCACTTTCAGGCAGCCCTTGTAAGGGCTCCATCCCTGCACTGCCCCATGAAGTCCAGTTCCACAACTGGAGGGAGCAGGTGGGACAGGAGAGGTGGGCACGCAGGCTACCAGACCTCAGACTCTTTGTATTGGGATGTCAGCTCCTTCCTGCTCCAAGCCATTCTCCAGCTATTGCACTCTGGATTTATTTCCCTTCTCTTCTTGCTCCAGGGATGGGAGCCTCAGCCCAGTTGCTTAGTTACCCAAAGGCTTAAGATACTGCAGCACCACAAGGCAGGTTCCTACTGCCAAAATACAGTCGTTTTGCAGTCATAAAGCAGGTTAGAAGACTCTGTTGTCTCCCAGTCTCACAGATGAAGAGCCCAGGCTGGGGGCGGGAGTGGGAAAATGATGGCAGTAAGGAGAGCAGGCTGGGCTTGGGCCACTCTTTGAGAAGGGAATGAGCACACAGAAGGGGCACCCACGCGGCAGTCAGTGCTATAGTGCAGAGAGACCCAGCTAGCGTGCTGTGCTCAGGGGCCCAGCTCATGGTTTTGTTAGGGCAATGGGCAACACTGGTTTCATAAGGAAAGTGTGGGTCAGGAAGCTCCTATACAGACTGATTTCTATTGCAGATTTAGTTGTCTAAGAGTGTTTCAAGTCTTATGCTTCAGGGCTTGAAAACTGCTGGCAGTGGGAGCTGGAAATGAATGCCTGCCCATCCCTCCTACCAACCCCCTGTCCAGAACTGCAGTGCACAGTTGGCCAAGGGCATTGCCAAAGGCTCTCTCTGACCACTGAGTAGCATCAGGCATTGCTCACTGCCAGAGGCAGGATGCCAGACTACAGAGACTATGGCCAGAACTGCAGTCTGTCCTGACATATGGGATGGTCCTCTTTTAAGAAGTCTGGCTATCCCTTCATACAGTAAAGTGCTGATTCTAGAGAGAGAGAGATAAAACAAAATGATCACTGGAAACATCCATGAGTAAGGAGTCAGGAGAAATGTCCACAAATTCACTTTCTACCTCAAAAAACTCCATGCAGCTTAAAAGCAGGGACTTCACAAAATCAATCCTGCCCATTAGCAATGAATGTCTGTGCAAACCAGGCCCTCTTGCTTTCATTCAGCTTATCCAGGCAATATGTGCAAGCACAAAGAAGGGTAGTAGCATCAGCTGGGAAAGAGGGGATGTGTCTGTACTGCTGCTAGACCAGGTCCATCCCTGCTTTAAAGGGGTCTTCTTCAAGTACCGCACAACTTAGTCATGCACAAAGATACCTCCTGTGCCGCATTTCACTGACCAAACAAATATAGACCAGATTTTCCAGGCAGATGTGAAGGAGCAAGGCAAGTGAAGTAAATCTATTTGTAACCGGGTGCATCTACACATGACTTCTACTGTGGAGCTGACTAATTAGCTCCACAATAAAGTGGAGCCTATTAGGCTGCAGTAAACTAATAAACTTCACTGCAGGATAGTATTTACTGTGCTGCAACATATGTGTAGATGCTGATGGGGCTGGCTGGGGCACGAGTGTGCCTGCCGTCTAACCCCAAACTGGAGCACCGGTGCCCCAGTCTGCCCTTCTGGAGCATGTTGAGCTCGGCTGGAGCAGCCCCAGGCAGGCACGCTGACCCCCCCAGACCGCCTGCCAGCCAGGGCTGCTCAACATGCTGCAGAAGTGAAGATGTAGCACCCAGAAGCAATAAACTCCCGGGAGAACTGCGCCGGAGTTTATTAATTCAAATTAATTGCATGTGTAGATATGCCCACAGAATATGAGAAGAGAACACAGCCTAAGTATTTGAGCAAAGACATACATTTTATTGCAGTGCAAAGCAGGGATCAATTACTATACCCATGGGTCTATAAATGTTTTTTGTGTACATATGTAGGGATTCTTTGCTGCAGGGAATACGAAGCAGGAGACACTCTCTATATAACAGCAGCTATTCACCTTTTTAGAACCAAGGCCATCTTTGTTAGGCTCAAAGCACCACTGGAAAATGCCAGCTCTTCGTGTCTCAGTTTTTGATGAAGGAAAACATGCTGAGAAATTCTTCTGTTGTAACAAGCTCAGAAAAACCACAACAGGTCAGAATGGTTTTGGCTCTGTGAATTCCTATTTGAAATCTCTGGGTTTGTCTTATGAGTTGTGTAGATGTAGTCACAATCTACACATGTATTTTGGCATATGTAACTATTCTGTTCCAGATAGTACTATTCTACAGCGGAGTTAATTAAGTTGCTGTGCCCCAATATGGGCACACATGTAGACCATGACACTTTACTGCAGAACTAATTAGTCAGCTCTGCAGTAAAGTGCATGTGTAGATGCACCCAGGAAGATGCGCCAGTTAAGGACCAGCAAGCTCTATTGCAGTTTATCAAAGCCTTATGCTGGGCCCAACCCAGGGAGGACCCCTTAATACAAGGACCCGATTAGAGATGGTCCATCTTTGTAAGCATTCATTATGTGATGTTGCTGGAAGTAGTGAGGGGGAGCAGTGGCTGGAGACTGCTGTTCTAGTTAGATAAGAAACGGGCTAGCCTCCACCCATTTGGGAACCAATGATTCACAGCTAGCAGGTCATAGCTCTGCACACTCTTCTGGAAAGAGCAGAGGATTCAAGTTTAACCCTTTTCATTGCACAGAGGCACATGCAAATGCCAGGCACCATACCACCACCAGGCATGCTTAGCAGCCTGGAACATATCAGGGTGGTAGGGTTTAATATGCACTGGTTCATATGCAAGTAGGCTGTGGACCCAAGAAGGCAAATCTTAGGAACGCAATAAGCAGCTGTGTGTGGTCAGTTAGCACCAAACCAAAGGGCTCTGAAAAGCTTCAAATCACTGAAGCTGTGAGCACTCTTCATGCTCACCCTAGCTCATCCCAGGAGGGGGTACCGGGGTGGCACGTAGCACCACCCACAATCTCCTGCTGCTGCTGTTTATTTGTTAAAATAGGTTTTGTTTCTTGCTTGTCTCCTGCATTGGCAGGTGCCCCAAGCATTAACTGCTGGGCTCCAAAGCTAGGACATTGCTTCCAGCAGGCCACAAAACATCACAGTGGCTTATGTAACTGTTATTATAAGGGTATTTCTATTATACTCCTAATGTTCTGCTCTTGAGCAGGGTGTGTGAACAGGCAGGTCACTAGCAAGTACGCCTCACCCACAAGGAAATTTGTGCTAAATGTTCACCAGTGAAATAGTGATGCACTATGCAACGACAGGAATCACTTAACTGCATTCATTCTTCTTCTCTGTAATGTCTGAAGGAAGCAGATGTTTTATATGGCTCAGTGAGAGGGACATTGATGCATTTCCAATGTCTCCATTAAGGTAACCCCGGATCTCAAACTTACTCACTCTTGCCTGCTTTTGTCCTTCCTAAAAAAGAAAATAAATGGGGGGATCCTATGTATTCCAGAAGGGCCTGATGCAGGTCCTGAAATGCAAACAGATTCTGGGTAGCTTTTGGATCTGAACTCCCAGCATAAAAGCTCCTTTCCCCACAAACACAACTTGGCAAGGTGCTGAGCACTTCCAGCCTCTACTACCTTAAGTGGGGTCACTGTGCCCTTTGCAAGTGGCACTCAGTACATTGCAAGCCCATGTTCAACAGGGACCCATGCTGTATCAGAAAAATCCTCCTAATGGGAGCAAACACTTTGCTTGGTTGGTTCATCCTAAGGCTTCTTTAAGAACCGTATCAGAGACACAGGAGGACAAATGCACAACTCCTGCTGATGGTACTACATACACCATGACTACATAAAGTCTCATAAAATCATACAAATCAGGTACTTTGTCATTTCACCAAGTGCCCCAATAAGAGTCACCATTACATGGTTCTGTTCATTCTTCTAGCTGTTCATCAGATTCTGAAAACTCCTCCCTTTTAGCCAAACCTCAATGCTCTACTTATAGTTAGAAAACACTGATGAAACATCAGAAAACTTCCAGCAGCACTAAGGGTTGACAGTCACAGCAGCGAGCAGGTAACAGGACCATAAAACATTTCTGAATAAAAGGTAAACAGCAGCTGTATACATTGCTTACCTGCCAATCTCTCTCCTTTCTTAAAGTAGAGGAGCATAATATTCTGTTCCCATCGGCATTTTAAATGCTTCTGTCCCTGAGAAGGTACTTGCTTAAGACCCACCCATAAGCTACCACATGCTAGAGAGCAAAACATTGAGCCTGCCAATCAGATACAACCATATTTCAGGATTCACAGCCTGTTTCACACAAAAACCCCTGCCACTCTCTTGAAGCCATGCAGTGATCTGACAACCTATCCAGCTACTGAGAGAAGTTTGCCATAAACATGGTTTCTCTGCCCTACATACTATAGACTCACAGGATGCCCTGAAGGCCATCCATAACCAACAGGACAGAGAAATGCATTAATTGATCTAACCCTGAGTTGTCCAAATGGAAGTGAGAGATGCTTTTTACATTAATTTGAGCATCTGCCTAATCCTTTAATAGCTCCAGTTTATGTATCAGTCGCAGCTGCAACTGTAACTTCTCTTTTATTACTGCTGATTTATATTACAGTAGCAGTGAAAAACCCAATCTAAGATTAGGGCTCATTATGCCAGGTTCAGTATAGGCACAGTGTGATCCAACCCTTGCTCAAGAGACGTGACCAGCTAAATAGACAAGCCAGAAAAATGAGAAGAAAGCAAGTGTTAACCCAGTTGTACAACAGGAAATCTGAGACTCACAGCGAGAAATTGACTTTCCCAAGATTACAGCCTAAGTGTAATTATTGAGAGCTTAACTTTGCATCATTCATAGATGCTAGCTGAAAAACAGAATTTCTTGCCAGTGGGAAATGCTGCCTATGTATCTCTATTGATTCCCCTGGAGTTACATCTACCTACAGTATCCACAGACCTGACCACTCTGAGTTATCAATCTTATATGAGTTTACAGGCAACTGACAGGACAAGATCATGCTACCCCATCCAAGTTACCCCAATAAAGTTGGCTGATGTGGCAGCATTGCCGTGTGGACTGATTTCTAACAGAAAAGACTATCCACTTTATGCACCTCAGCACCCATCCACATTGTTGTTGGGAAAAAGCCCAAAGAGTACAAAATTGTCTTTGCTAGGCATTGGGGAACATACCTAATACCTATGTGTTCTATACCATCTCCATACCTTGGCATCCCCTTCTGTGGTCCCCATCACCAAGGGTTTTCCGGTTTCAAAAAAAACCCCAAACCACTACCAGGACAGGAATTTTGGGCCTTGTTTGAGTGGTCTGGGGGCAGATGCTTCTACAGCAAGCAGCTATAACAGGGCTCACCAAGCTTATGGTTTTGCCTCTTACCATACACACACCACCAGTCCTGGCTTTTCCTGTTGGATAAACTAAATTGCTGCCAATCAGTCTCTTCTAGTATGTTTAATTATTTGGATCAATTATTCATGTCTCAGTACACCAATAAAAGTCACCCATTAAAAGCAGGCTGAACACAACCATGTCTAGACCTAAATCCATGCCACTGTCTGAGAACTAATGAAATACAGGGATAGGCACTGTTCTCCCAGACCTCATCAGCCCATTAGACACTTTGTGGGAAAGCCAGAGGAGCTTACTGCATCTTAAATGCTCTGGTGCATCAAAGCTTTGGTGCAAATTCAGATTGGAAATAAAAACTACTCATTTTGATACATTTATACCTGCTCACCGCCAGGTTTGTTTCACACAAGGTGTGAAATGCCAAGGGCATCAGGAACTTGGTCCACCAAATCCCTGGCGGCATCCATCCATGATGTTTGGTGACATGCTCACAACCTCTACTAAGGCTGCTGGAAAACAGTGACTTGAACTTTCATGTTGGAGGGACAAATCCACCAGTGAGGAAATGTTGGTTAGCCCTTTTGCAGGACAAGGAGGTTACTGAAACAGTCTCATCTGCAGCCACCTAAACTGTACCCCATTTCCTGCACCCAAGCACAAATGTGCAAGCTGAATAAGTTACTGTGCTCACACACAATAGATAGTGGGGTGCAGAAAGGTGTGTGCTATTCCCCTCTGTATGCATGGTAATGCTTTCCAGATGCAGTTCAGCTGGACACCTTTATTTGAGTTGACTTCTAGCTGGTACACAGCCCCAGACTCTACTCTGCAGTATGGCTCTACAAGCAGCACTATCAGTTGTAAATGGCACACTCGGTATAGCAACCATGTCTTCCGGCAGCATGAAGTCAGCGTAGCATCTCTTACAGCACAACTGCAGATTCTGGCATCCAGCGGGCACTAAGAGAATGGATGTGGTCAGAGCTTTCATGGATGCCACTAGTTCCCAGCTGATTTTTCAACCCAGTGGGAACAGTAGGGCTTGGCATGGCTTGGAGAAGCCTTCCTGAGGCTCTGAATGTATTCGTGGGGATGGGAGCAGCACACAGGTAGCCTGAAGTGGGGGAGCAGGGCTGTTTACTCCTCCTAATTCTGAAGCTGGGCTGTTGTCTCAACAACAGCCGCGGCTCTGAGCTTTCATGTTTATGATACTTTAAATCGTTTCTGGCATATGGGCTTAATTAATTTTTTCACAAGCAGATAGATTCCAACCGGGAGCACAAAACAGCAATTATTTTCCAATCCAATTTTAATAGTGAAAAGCCGCTGGTGCAGAATAACTCCCAGTACGTGTACTTTTCCACATAATCTCCCCCTGCAAAAAAGTGTCCTTGATAGATATTGAATCTAATCAAACAAATTAGGGTGCCTTAAAACTGATGTTTTGCCTTGCACAGTGCTCCAGTGCTGTGTTGCTTTAACCCAGTTGTTAGCATGAGCCTAACTAACAATCATTAGCATTGCAGTCTTTTTGGGGAGGGCTTGGACTAAGACCAGGTAACAGAAAAGGTATTTGATCCTATCGTGTGTAGAATTCCAATTTCTGTGCTAAAAGTACATGCAGGCTGCTTCAGAAAAGATACCTCCACTATGAAGTTCCCAGAGGGTAACATTTTTTCATTTTTCGACATCCCAATGATTTTTATAGATTTTTAAATAATTTTTCATCTAAATGAAACTCTACTAGGGATGTTTTTGTTCCTCTTTCCCCTCTTTATTTGACTTTTCCTCCTCACCCCCACTCTACCATGAGAAAAAGGAGAGAGGAAAGCACCCAAAACACTTTTAAAAATGATGAAAGAGATATTTTAAAGCTCCTGTTGTAATTCAGTAGAGTCATTTTTGTCTGTACAACTGACCATCATTCAGCTAATTCTACTCCATGGGTCCCAGCTGTGGTATACTTATTAAAGTAGCTGAAAGGACATTAGCAGAGAGAGGAACTTTTGATTCCAAGTGCACTCTTAAGTGGCAAGAGTCTTCATTAGTTGTAATATCATTGGGGTTTATATCCTTCCTGGATCAGCTGCATTCACATGCTCGTGGTCTTGGTCTCACACACGTGCACAAGCATACACGAGCAAGTCCTTTAACTGAACTCCTGGGTCTTCAATGCCAAAAAGCCCAAGGCTGTATTGTGCGAACCCAAAAAAACAGCTCTCTTAACTGTGTGTTAATAACAGTCTGTTTTTGTCACTGGTATGACTCCCTAGGGGAAGACCTGATCACATCCTAATCTTAGCGTTCCACACGCAAGTGTGAGGCTAGTGCACTGTCACATTCGTGCAAGTAAAAATGCCACAGCTGGCCTATGTAATGCTCCTTTGCAAATGTAGCTCTGCATGAGGTCAGAACAGGGGAGGCATTTTGAGGTTATGAACGAGCTGCAGTGTGACCTCTGATGTGACATCAGAATTAGCGAGACTATTCAGTTGCTTAACACAGAGTCCGTCATGGAGGCATCCAGGCACCTTCTAGTGGCACACTAAACTTTGTTAGAGTGCAGAGATGGCTATCAGCTTCAGATTTCTTACCTTGGCAAGCTGTTGAGGTCTACCATATTTGGTCTTGTCAACCAAAAATTATCAGCAGAAACTCAGTTTTGGCAATGAGATGCATGTGTGCATTTTCTCACTGAAGTGCAATATACAATGAGACCATTCTCATGGTCCATTCAGGGTCAAGGCATCCAAAACAACAGGCTGCCATGCATGCTAAATTAAAATGAATATATAGGAGGCGGTGACAATAATCAGTCTGAGAATGAAATCATTTGATGCGGCATGAAAGTCTATGGCTGTGCATAAAAAACTGCCAATCTGCAGCAGTCTGGTTTTGCAAGGGTACCTTTGTATATGAAAGTACGACAGCATATGGTCCTTTGGAAATCTAATAATGCTGGCAGACAGCCATCATACTGAGTGTCTTAAGCGATAGAGCAGACCTGCCTGATGGGGAAGGGTTGAGCTTTTGCAGACAGGCAGAGAAGAAAGGAATGTCCCAGGGGCTGAGTTAGGGTCGGATAGCATACAGACAATGATGGAGGAAAGAGAGATGGAGCAAGATTCAGAGCCCACGGCTTTTCTGGAGGAGGAGGGGAGTTCGCTCAGCAGTCTAGCATTGCTCACTCCATCACATGTCAAACCACGGGCCTCCCAGGAAAAGGCACTTTGCAGAATGGACAAAGAACTACTTTAGTTTCACCCTAGACCTATGAATGGGGAGAAAGGAGAACTGTTCTGATAAGCAGAAGCTGTCATTAGGAAGTTCTGCAACACTCAAGGGTAGCCACAAACTCATCCAGCTTACTGGGAATTTTGACCAAGTGCTCCACACTGCCTTCTCGTTGGAAGCTCATTTAGATGAAAGTAGCCTGGAAATTTAATGTGCAATAGCTTTTCTGAGGGAGAAAAGCAAAATCTGTGTGGACACATTTTTTTTTTCAAAATAAGCATGGATAAAGTCAAACTAAGATAAGGTGCCACCCCAGATTTTTTCCAGAATAGCCATGCCTGAATAACCCCACATGTCTGTGGGTGAGGGGGGCTTGGGAGCAAAAGTATGATCTGGCATATTTAAAACAGTCCAGTTCTGTATTCTTCATCAACTAAACTTTTCCTTAGCACTCTTAGAGCAAATGAGGATGGATTTTTAAAGGAAAAAATGGAGGTATCTGTTTGCTAAGCCCTTGTCTCATAGTCTATCTTAACAGACATGCATGCATGCGCGTGTGTATGT